CAAAGACTAGTCCTTAATATGGGCTAGAACTAATGTACTTAATTTGCATTCTGCTATTTCACCCACTTAGAAACTCTGTAAGAAGGGTTTCCTATGTCTGAGATAAAAAATAATCTTTTTCCTTACAAGGCTTGTCTCTCTTTTCAATTATTCATAGCCATAAGTTAATTATTTATCACAGAATGAATTACTGACAGAACACAATTCGTACAGCCCAAAAGCAAAGTGCTATTAATCTACCATTCCTACTACATTATTACACTTCGGTTTGTAATAACAGGATTTACAAGAACAAAGTTAGTTGCCTTTAATTCTTTCACTAAATTAAGTCCAAAAAACCCAATTCTAAACACTTTTTTTTATTAAACTGACTCATTTATGAAGTGTTAAATCCTTATTGTTTTCTTCCCTTCCTCACTGCACTTACTGTCTCTCCCACTTTATAGTTGATGTATTTCTTTCAAAATAGCATGAAAAACCTATAATATCTTTATCTGATAAGTCATGATGGTGGGAATCTATTGTATCACCAAGGTATCACAGATTTAGAATTTCAAAGAACATTTGAAATAATCTAGCTCATTTTATAGATAAAGAAACTGAGGTTTAGTGAGATCAGATGATTTTCCCAAAGCCATGGAGGTAGTAAAATTAGTAGATTTGATACTTGATCCCAAGTTTTCTGACTTCTAAAGATTCTTAATTTAGGTAAAGGGACTAATATATTAATCTTGGTTCAACTATCTAGAAACTAGATTTTCAATGAGATATTTTCATCTTTGAAGTTTCTTTTTTAAGTTTTAATGATACTTTTCAGACATTATTTTTGACTGATGGATAGAACTCTTCTGGGAAATAGGAATTTAGTTACTACCGAATCTTAAATATATAATCTTTAAAATGTTCTCCCTTTATATTGTTTCACAATTATCTGTAGTTACTAGATACAACAAAACAAACCATTCTTATCCTACATTGCTAAGTCTCAAGGGATTTATTTCCCTAGTATTCAGAGCACAGTGCACAGACACAAGACATTGTAATGAAAAAAGAAAAAAATATCCGGACTGAGAATCAGGAAGAGACCTTGGTTATAATGTTGATAACTGTGTCACTGAATAATCCACGACATTTGCACAAATCTAACCTAAATAGAACTTTAGGTTATCATATTTAAATAGAAATTTATTGCTTAACAATCTGGTACTGCAACAAGGAGTCCTGAATGTTATCGTTATCACCACGAACACCATAAGATAATAGATCAATAATGACTCCCACTTATATAAAACTTTTGACAACCTTACCAATTTTAAAGATTAGGAAGCCAAGGCTCAAAGAATTTCATTGTCCATGGTCATGCAGCTAGCAAGCATCAGATCAGGATTTTCTTACTCCAGGACCATTGTTCTTTCCACTACCAGATTCTGCCTAAACAAACTTGAGCAAGAATTCCTTTACAAGGGCAGATACTGCAGTTGGTATTATTAGATCATAAAGCATTGTGGTTTGGGTATAGGGTCAGTTGCAGGATTTCTAGTATTGACACTATTCTAGCCTTACCACTTAGTCTTTAGCCAATGATTGGCAGTCTCAACTTGTCCATATCTTATACTATATCACTCCTTTCTTTCATAGCTGAATTCCTAGAAAAGGTTATCTACTGATGCGTCCACCTCCCTTTTTCTTACTTTTAACTTTGAAATCTGGCTTCAGACCTCATCACTTACCTAGCACTGCTATCTAAAAAGTTATTAATCATTTCCTAATTGCCTAATCTGTTGACCTCTTCTCAATCTTGATCCTTTCTGACCTCTCTGAATCAGTCGATATTACTAACCACCCCCCTCTCCTGGATAATCTCTCTTTTGTGAGTTTTTGTGAAATTATCGTCTCACTTCTTCTCCTACCTACCTGATTGCTCCTTCTCAGTCTCCTTTGCTATGAGTCATCACCTATGGCAGACCAGCTAACTAACCTGCAAACCTCTATCTTGGGCTCTTCTCTAAATTCTTGACTTCAACAGCTCTCATAAGCTTAATTACCATCTCTATGAAGATGACTCCAAGACATATGGTAGATTTCTAATGAAAGAACCCACTATTTCTTGAGACAACTCAATCCACTTTTGGACAGCTCTAAAAAGCTAGGAAATTTTCTCTTAAATCAATTATAGATTCACCTCTTTGCAGCTTGCAACCACCACTCCTAGTAGTCCTGCCCTCAGGCAGAATAATCCTAGTATCTCTTCCATGTGACAGCCTCTAGAACAGCTAAAGATATCTATCATGTCCTCAAGTCTTCTCTAACATCTTCTCTACACTAAACTTTTTCAGTTCCTTCAACCACATTCCATGCAGCATGATCTCAAGGATTTTTACTCTCCAGGTGACATTCCCTCTGAATGATCTCTAGCCTATCAACGTACTTCCCAGAGAGTGGCAATTAAATACAATACCCTAGATCTGTCCTCAACAGAACGAAGTACAGTGGTACTATATCACCTAGTCCTGGACACTATGCGTCTCTTCTTTTATTTTTTTTTGCGAGACAATGGGGTGAAGTGACTTGCCCAGGGTCACACAGCTAGTAAGTGTTAAGTGTCTGAGGGCAGATTTGAACTCAGGTCTTCCTGAATCCAGGGCAGGTGCTCTATCCACTGCACCATCTAGCTGCCACTATATGTGTCTCTTCGTAATGAAGGTTAAGACTAGCTGTGTAGGCTGCCTTATCAAACTGCTGACTCATGTTAAGCTTGAAGTCCACTAAAATGCTCAGGTCTTTAAAGACAGAATAATCAATCAAAAATCTTTTATTAAATAGCTACTATATGTCAGGCACTGGGCTAAGCACTGAGGATGGAAATACAAAGAAGAAAACAATTCCTACTCACAAGTTTATATTATGATGGGGAGATAATAAGACACATAAACATATATATGTGTGCATATATACATTTATAGCATAAATAATGAAAACATATACATTTATATTAAATATTTAAATTAGAGCATATAAATTTATATAAATACTACTATGCTATAAAAAATTATGAGATCAAAGATCTTAGAAAAACATGGATCGGAGGCAGCTAGATGGCACAGTGGATAGAGTACCGGCCCTGGAGTCAGGAGGACCTGAGTTCAAACCCAGCCTCAGATACATGATACTCACTAGCTGTGTGACCCTGGGCAAGTCACTTAACCCCAAGCGCCTCACCAAAAAAAAAAAAGAAAGAAAGAAAAACATGGATCAACTTGGGTGAAATAACAAAGAGCAAAATGAGCAGAACTAAGAGAACATTGTATACAGTAATAGCAATGTTGTTTTAAGAACAATTTTGAGAGAATAAGCCATTTTGACTATTATAAATACCCAAATTAACTACAAAGGATATATGAAGAAAGAAGCTATCTGCATCCAGAGAAAGAACTGACAAATAGAAATATGTATAGAATGATTTTACACATATATACATATTGGTAGCCATCTCTAGAATGGGAGGAGTGGAAAAAAGGAAAAAAAAAGAAATTTACATAACTTTATTATATTTAAAAGGAATAGCAAGGTGTACATAATAGATTTGCAGTTTCATATGTAATCATCTTTTTTATTATGCTATATTATGGAAATGCTTTTTCATTCCATAAATTAAAAATAAAATTAATAAAAAAGAGAAAAAATAAAGTAGTTAAATAAGTAGTTAGGAAGGTAGGGTGTTAGTAGCTGGGGACAGAGGGAGAAGATTGGGTAAAGCTTCAAGCAGAAACTTATACTGGATCTGGTAAGGAGAGAGTATACGCCAAGCTTATGGCATGGCATGTCATGTGTAAGGAATAAAAAGAAGGTCATTTTGCCTAGATTATAGAAGACAGAAAGGGGAATAATGTTCAATGAGATTAGAAAGATATGTTGGAGCTAGGCTGTATAAAGCCTGAAAAACTAAAGAGAGGATTTTATCTTTTTCTCTGGAGGCAGCAGAAAGCCTCTGGAGTTGAATAAGTAGTATAGTAACATGGTCAGATCTATACTTAGGGCATATTAATTTAGCAACACCGTGTAAGATGGCAGGGAGACTATTTAGAGGGCTTCCATAATAATCCAGGCAAGAAGTCAAGAAAACCTGAACCAATGTGGTAATTATGTGGGTGGAAAAAGGGGGTTTGAGAGATGTCATGTAGGTAGAAATGACAAGATCTGGCAATTTATTGTACATGTGGGGTAAAAGAGAGTGAGGAGTTGAGGATAATGCAAAGGTTAGAGACTTCAGAGACTAGAAGGATGGTACTGCCTTCCACAGAAGTTTGGAACATAAATTAATTGATAGTTTGTTCTTTAAAGATACTAAATAAACACGAAAAGATTAAATGACGTTCAACATATTTTGTTTAGGAAGATATGAACATCTTTAATCATCTTGTGATAATTTTCAAAAACTATTAAAAGTCTCTTTGGAGACACTGAAATTAAATTTTATTTATCCAGAAGACAGATAAAGAAGACAAGTCTAGAAAATATCTCACCTCTTCATCTGTGTCCCCTAACACATACAAATGATGTATTATTGTCTTGGTAGAGCATTACTTAAAGTGCCAACTATGTAACTTTTATTAATTAATTTGTGTTTCTGTAAACTTGTTTTCATAGATATATACAAGAACATGAATAATTTGTCATATCAATCTACTGGGTTTTGGAGTGTGGACCAAATTAAATTCCAGGAATCTTGAAGAAAAATATTTTACTCAGATATAAAGCTGAAACCCCTGGAAAACCTACTACTATCTAGAAAAGAAACTAGCTCTTGCCTTGAAGTAAAAAAGGATGAAAGAATCTATGTACTTCACATGTGTAGGAGATGACACCTTGGTAATCAGGCTTGTTCTGCCATACATTTCCATAATTAAGCATAATTAACATTTAAAAATAAATTAAATAACTGTTCAAAACTAACCTTATTAAAATACTGATGCTACCAACCCTCTCAAGTCAACACTCACCCACTATGCTTCATATGTGGTGGTTTATCCATTCTCACGGCCAATTTGATTTTCAGATCAGAATCCTGGCTATTTTTTGGAACTACCATCCTGTGCAATTCAGCTGTCTTTGAGCTGTTGGAAGTTGGATACAAAATTACCTGTAAGAAACAAAATGGAAAACTTTTCAGTGTATTTACACAGAAATCCTTCTTTCTGGCACCAAGATCTTTCTTACATATTTCCCAGTTTGAAAAAAAAGAGTCCTCAAGGCCCAAATATGCCTAAGGTACTATTTGATTTCCTCCTTTCACAGAAGATAAGGATTCAGATGCATACTTATTTGTTTTCTTACAAATGTTCATTTTCATATTATCACATAACATAGTTTCCTCTTATGTCACATCATAGGGAATTAAAAACACAATGGGACTCAGCTGAAATGATAGCAGAAAAATGCTCCGTACAAGGAAATGTACACTTTGGATTTCAGTACTGTACTTTATAGGGAAGAGGATTTTAGAAATTGTATTCTTTGAAACTAAATATATTGCTCTATAAAAGGAAAACTAATCTCAGGCAGCACAAACCATACTCATTTTAATATTTTCATTATAAAATAGATGTACTAATGGAAATCAATTAGAAGTGGAAAAGACATGGTCAGAGTAGATTTTCTGCTTGTATGAATGAAGGGCTCAATGAAGGACTGATTCTGAATAGATTTTTTTTTTAACAAACTAGGAATATGTAGTCATAGCTCGAATAAAGTATTTTTGATCAATTTGTGAAAAAAATAGAAAAAAATTTACTTAACATAGCAACATGATGGCAAAACAACTGGTATTTTATCCAAAAAGTTAGTCTGTTTATTGGTGTTTCACAGATAAAAACAACAGGTCCTTCCTGCCCCAACCCTCCCCACTTTCGAACCAGTTATATGATTTAGACATAGTCCAGATTTAGTGATGGCATCCTTGGAATACTCTCTTTCTTTCACCGACCTTTTTTCTTTCTTTCAGGAGACAGTTTAAATCACATCTTCTGCAAGAGGCTCCTTCTGGTCTGCTAGTCACTTTCCTCTGAGATTAACTTTCATCTACTTTGAATATACCGATTATTTACAAAGTTGTTTGCATTTTTTGTCTCCCCCAATAGAATTCTTCAGGGCAGGGACTGTATATTTGTCTTTCCATCTTAGCACGTAGCCCAGTGCCAGGCACATGGTAAGCATTTACTAATTGTGTGATGACAGTTGTTGACAGTCTAAGTATTAATGGAAATATAAAATGGGATGCAGGCAAGGCTGTACAGCAGATGGGAGGTTGGGAGACTGGAGTTGGGAAGACCCAGATTTTAAATCCTTCCTCTGGCAGATAGTGACTGCAGAGACAGTGAGTCAGCCCAGTGGGTGTTCTGCTCAGATACTTCCTAGCTGTGTGCCTCTGGGCAGGTCATTTAAACTATCAGCCTCAGTTTCCTCATAGCTAAAATGGGGATTATAATAGTATCTACCTCGCAGGGCTGTTGTGAGGATTATGAGATAACCTATGTAAGAAAATACTCTGTAAACCTTAAGATGCTATACCAATGCTAGTTTTCATTATTGTTATTATTACTGTATGATCATGGACAAGCCACTTAACTACTGAATGCCAAAGGGGACCATATAAGAATCACAGAATTTCAGAGCTGGAAAGGACTTAGATGCCAACTAGAACAACCTCTAATCTCCTAAATCTACTAATCTACTAAAATACATATCCCCAATTCTAGATGTGGTCATCTAGAATCTACATGAAGTTCTTAAGTGAGGTGAACCCCCCTACCTCCCAAAGTGGCCCATTCTACTTTGGGATATCTCTAATGGCTAGGAAGATTTTCCAGACATGCATCTTTTTTTTTTTCTTTTTTTATGAGGCAATTGGGGTTAAGTGACTTGCCCAGGGTCACACAGTTAGTAAGTGTTATGTGTCTGAGGCTGGATCCGAACTCAGGTCCTTTTCACTCCAGGGCCAGTGCTCTATCCACTGCACCACCTAGCTGCCCTGACATGCATCCTAAATAGGCTTCTTTACAACTTTTGCCCATTTCTCCTAGTTCTACCCTCTATGTTCAAGCAGAACAAGGCTCCTCCTTCTTCCATACGACAGCTCTTCAATTCCTAAACATAGACTGGATTCATAATCAGTTTTCCAAAATCATTCAGTGAAACAGAGCTCTTCTTGGCCTACAAAAACTGTACCAATTCCATCTATGTTTACTAATGTAACTATGAAGAACATATAAAAAGCAAGGTGGCCTAGAGGACAGAGAGCTGGCTTCAGAGTCAGGAAGATCTGGGTTCATGTTCTGCCTCTGGAATATATTGATTCCGTGACTCTGGGCAGGTCATTTCATGTCTCGGGGTACATGGAAGCTTTCAGATTTTAAGAAGTGGAGCAGGTGATGATGTTTCTCACTTGGAGTTCCTTTCATTAAAGAAATCAAAGATTCAATTTTAAAAAAAGGAAATATACAAAGAAAGGTTCTAACAAAGAAACAGTTTTATTCCTCTTTAGGAAAAAAAATAAAAGAACAAAACATCAGATCCATCAAGTTAGCCTCTATTTTTTTTTGATGATGATATGAATATTTTATTGTATACACATAGAGAGATAGAGAGGGAGATACAGTATTTATAAATGGAAGTAACATTCTTTAAAATTCATAGAAGGAAAAACTATTTGAACAATATAGTAATAGGATATATAAAGACATCTTTCAGTTATATACCATTTCATACTTTTCAAAGTACTCACATATAAATTATTTCCATATTTCCATATTAAATAAAATATTTCCATATTAGTCACAGTTGGGAAAGAAGAAACAGATCAAAAGGAAAAAAAATCCTTAATTTCCTTTAAGCCTCAGTTCTCAAAGCTTTTACTCATTCCTCTAGTTGTAAGTCCTATGTGTCATTTGCTTCAGTAGAATGCAAACTCCTTGAAGGTAGGGACTTTTTTTTCCCTTCAATTTCTAATTGTCTAGCAAAGTAGGCACTTAAATGTTTGTTGAAAAGAAATAAGGCCATGGGAATCAATAGTGAGTTTATCCAGAATTTTGGAGCTGTGATTTTAAATAGGAATGTCAGCTCTTCTGGTCAAATATTGTTGTTGTTTGTCCTTCATTCTTAAGGAGGACCAATGACATCAGGAAAGTGATGTTTTGACTTGCAAGTGAATTGGATTTACATGAAGCAGGGCTGTGCAAAGTCACCAGCCTCACTCTCTCCTCCAGAGCCATCTGGCTTTAGCGGTAAGACATAGATCAGGATGACTTGAGATGGCCCCAGATGCAATGGGAGACCTAGGCCTTTTCAAGCTAAGATCTTTCCCAGGTCTCAGTCTGACTGAGGCAAGGCCCATTCAATGACTAAGGTTAGGTAAGAAATAAGGCAAAGAATGGCCTCTTTTACCTAATAAAACTATCTGGGAGGGGAAGACCCTCAAGGGTTTCTGGCAAGAACTGAAACAATTGCTATTTACACTCATTCTAATCTATCAAAACTCAAATAATGACCAAAAGAGGCTTGAGCTAGGACTTATTATTGGCCAATCAGTGACAGCCAGAGTGATTTGGTTTTAAGGCATAATCAAGTAGCTCCATTTGAATCTGATTGTATCTGGGGATATAAGGAAGATCAGGTACTTATGGGGTAAGTAGGCAGGCTTTTTGACAGGGCCCAAACCCTATAAATACTTAATTCTGAGCTAATTTTATCTTTTGGGCCCTATTTTCTTCTCTCTAGTAAGCCCCTGGGATTGGCTTGCCTGTTTCATTTCATACTACTCCGCCACCTAGGTCTCTTTCCACCCAGGTACCAGGAAGGAAAGGACGTATATTGCTACCTCTCCCTATCCTATCATTGCTGAAATAAGCACACACTCTTCTTTTGGTGTTCTAAGGAATTTTACCATTAGTACATAACAGGAAAAGCAAATGGCACAATGGCACAAAGTTGCCAGAATTCTTAAAACATTTAATAGATTAATAGGCAACCATGGGAAATGAACAGAACTAGGTTTGATTTTTTTCTTTTTTTAATCTCTTGGACTTTTTCACCAACTCATATTTCCCGTTTTTTGCCTTAGGGATCAATCCTCTTAGACGGATCAAAAGGACAATCAAAAAAGAATCTTACTGGGCAAAGCCTGGCACGCATCTAGCTGGTTATAAAACTCACTCATTACTTGTTGCTATCATTTGCCTCAACTCTATCAAGCCTGATGCGAAATGAAACTACTTTGGCTTCCCACCTAAGGAAGATTGGGGTTGATAATGCTGCAAGATCTGCTGGAATTCTCATTTTCTATCAGAACCCGCATATGAACTTTCTTTACAGATGGAGGTAACTAAGTCATCTCCTCTGTCTCTGGGCTCAATTCTATTTCTGCGCCATAGGTGTCTCAAAATTCTTGTATCCTTTTTTGTTTCCTGGCTCTCTACATGTCCTAAATGTGCTTCCTTTGTCCTTCACACTTACTCTCCTTCACCCTTGCTGAGATGACTGCAATCTGTCCAAATGCAAAACACCTTCCAATAGCCATCGTCATCCTACCTCTTCTTCTTTCAAAGCATATGTCCCTCAATGAACCTTCCTGCTTCTGTTCTGAGAGTGATAGAGCAGAACTAACTCACATATGTTGAGTTCAATGGATCTATTGTTGACGTTTACAAAGTGCTTTAAAACATGATCTCATTTGATCCATACAACAACCTTTTGGGGGAGAGAAGAGGAAAATGAACATAGAAGCATAGATTTCAAGTTAGAAAGGACTTTAGAAGTCATTCAGTTCAATATCTTCATTTTATAAACACGCAAAATGAGATTTAAAGAGACTTGAGAATTTGCCCACGGTCACACAGCTAGCAGGATGTGACCCATGTCTTCCTGACTTCAACTCCAGAATTCCTTCTACTACACTCGTCTATGATCACATAAATGTTTGAGGTGGGATTTAAACAAAGATCTTCCTGACTCCAAGTCCAAAGCCCCATCCATTACGTTAAATTGCTTTTTCTTACTCAAGTTACTAGTTCCACTATATTCCCCAAGTTCTCTTTGAGTATTGACCCCTCAATAGCCCCTAGGCAACAAATTCCTAGAATCCTAACA